TCGCATAATGATTTCTAAAATATCGAGGCAATATTCGGTTATTGGGCACAATAGGTGATCTCTCGCATTCATGCTAGGGGCGAATGTTATCGGCCTTAATAAACTAATACCCTTTTCAACTTTGCATCCATAATGATTGATAAATTAAATAAAGTTCAAACTCAAAATTTTTTATTCTAAATATAAGGTAATCAACTAGGTACCAATTTTTGGGCGCTTGTGGGGGTGCTAATCCTTCCCCACGCGTAACTGACTCTCGACCCTGATTTTTAGATTTTTATAAACCCTAAAACTTGGTATTTTGATAAAAATAAATAAAATGTTTTATTAAAATCATCCAATTTTTTGTGGTGTCCCAATTGCACCTTAATTGATTGGTGGTGACTCCTCACATTTCAAAACCTTTTCAAAGGAAAATCCCCTAATTCGATACTGGTCTTCCCCTACCCAGGAAAAAAACAGAGTCAAAACCGTCAAGATGAGAGTAAAGATGAAGCAATTAAAGTGATGTCTATGCAAGGGCCTCATAAGGTGCGAAGGTGCCCAAATCAAATCAAGCAGTCCAGGGGAAGGACCAGGCCGAGGATAATGAGCATGCAAGACTTGGTGCAATAAGGTTTGTTTCTACCAAAGCAAGTGGTAGCCCAGTGGCGAAAGGGATAGCCATATCTAAAGAGGCTGGAGAGCTCACTGAGCATATTTAAGCGGAGAAGAACATGTCTTCAAAGACTATAAATGGAGAAGGGTTAAAGGGAGCTAAGTCAATGAGTGACAAGGCAACCGTGGAATCACCAATGGGCAAGGTGGGAAAGGAGCGAAGAACTTCGATTAAGAAGTGCAACCTTGAGGGCTTGGTTCCAACCTTGGTGGGTTTGCATGCTCACTAGGCTTGGGTAACGCTTACTTAGACGCAGAGAATACTCAGAAGTGTCAAGAAGCATTAAAGGTCAAACATCTCGTCAGACCTTAACTCTGATATTGCGACAGTTTGGGCTTGAAGATTATGAGGACATGACAAGTGGGTATGAGAGTGAGTTATTGTGGGGAGACAACGATCGTTTCGTACATGTTTGGTGGAAGTGGTAAACCATGTAAGTTTGATTTACTCCTACCCACCAAGAGATGCAACAAAACAAAGATACTTAGGAACAAAGCACACAAGAGATAGAGTAAATGCCTCATAGTTTTATTATTCTCCCAAGAGAATGAATAATATGAGATGTTGCAAATGAGGAGCGGAGACTCTCTATTTATAGTTGAGCTCCCTTTAAATCAATGGCCTAGATCTATTTACATCAATGGCTAAGATGATCCCAATTAATGCATAATCCCCAAAATGAAGGAAACCCAACCCAATCTTATTTAATTACATCTGTTAGTAGGATTCTTTCCTTGTATAGGTATTCACACTGAATATGGAAAGATTCATCCATAATTCTCCCCAAATTTAAGTTATTGGATTGTATGTAGTATCGAGGAAAGAGTCAACATTAGTGGCAGGCATGAAAAGAACTACCACCAAGTTTGTTTCTAAATGCTTGTCATGTCAACAAGTTAAAATAAAGCATCAAGTGCCTTATGAATTGTTGTAATTGATTTTCATCCCTTAGTGAAAACGGGAACGAATTACAATGGACATTGGTAATAGGTAAAGATTATTCAATATAATTTCAAGATAGTTGTTGATCCACAAAATTCTTATCCAGATTTTAAAGGAAAATAAATCTTCTATTAAATTGGAAAAGCTAATTTGAAAAGAGAACAATGTATGAAAAAAATATCCTTATCTTTCTAAATCAGGCACGTAATTAAAAAATTTTGGAAGAATTTTTATTAAGAGGAGGAGAATTCTAATACCCCAAATTTTGGTTAGTGACCTAAACATAAATTTTGAAAGTTTAGTAGACAAAGCATAAAGCTTGGAAAAGTTTATGGACCAAAGTAGTAATTTTCTCGTAAAAAAGTATTCCATAAATGAATAGATCATCCCCAGAATGACGTTTTCTTGGGAATCAAAATTTTGGTACAAGAATTGTATTAAAAGCTATAAGGCAGTAAAGTTCGATATAGAATTAGATAATTGGATTAAATCATAATTTTATGAAAATTTGAAGGATGATAGATAAAGGTTGGAAATATTATTTCCAAATTTTATAACAGTGAAATTTAATGTGGATCAGTGGAATTGAAGTCGATTTTCAATATTTAGCTGAAATTGGAAAATTTAGTGACTAAATTACAGTTTTCAAAATTTTGCAAGGGAAAAGGTGGAAAGTGGATTTTTATTTGTTCATCTATGGCTTTGAAGATGATATAAATACGATGGTGTCATGGATGATGTTATAGCAATGGCAAAGTGGAAATTATCATATTTTGGTAAGGTTAAAATGGTAATTTCTAATTAAACAAATTTTAAATTTATTTATATTAAATTAAGACAAGTGTATATATTAATTATGAAGATAAAACAAGAATTTTCATCCCCTCTTCATGTTCAAGTCGTGCAGCGCCATAGCAAGGTAAGGAGAAATTTTGATTTTATTTTTAAGCTTATTCAATTGATTTTTAGATTTAACTATTAGAGAGAGAATTAATCCTCTTGAAATTCTCTATCATTTAGTATAAAAGTTACATAGAAATCATGATTATATGATGAGATTGGAGATTAGGGTTTATGAAGGACATGTTTGATTTTGAAGATTTGATGGAAGATTATTATGTTTTCGATGTTATAGATTATTTCTAAAGCACGTGTGATGATTAAAACACTTGAAATCAAGCTTAATCATGTTCGACCTTAACCTAGGGTTTTTAAGAATTTGTGATTTGGTTAAATTAAGTTAGGGATTTAGTTAAATTTGAAGAATATGTTATCATGTTGATATTTTCCACTTTAGAACACTGGATTGGATTTAGATATGAGATTTGTGTTCAAAAAGAGTTTTCTAACGACGCTCGACTCTGATTTGCGATTGTTGATGATCTTTCAATATTTTCATCCAGTTTTTTAATCCATTTACCGATGTAGTCAGATATGTTTGTATCATTATTTTATTCAAGTTTTTTAGATAAGTTTTTAACCATTTTGGTCCTTATGGTCTTTATGTAATCTTAAGTGTTATATTAATGATTATAAAGATATGTCCTAATTGTATGCTCTTTGTAATGTTGGATATCATCTTTTTTTTTTGGGATAAAATTACGACTTCCATATATATACACGGTAGACTACATCTAAGGTCTCTAAAATTTTAATTAGTTTTTATTTTCGCTATTAAAATTTTAAATACAAAATAAACATTAATATTATTATTTTATAATATAACAATAACTCACATATCCACGTCATAATTATATTTACAACTACACGTGAATAAATAACAAGAGCAAATAAGGTTAATACTTTTCGCTCCTAGACAAATAAACAAGGGCACATTAAGTAGAACTTTCCTATATACTATGGGTAAACTATAAATTTTATCACTGAACTTTTTTCTTCTATTTTGCTCACTAAATTTTAAAAGTTTAAATTTCCTCACTGAACATAATAATTTGGGTTTTTTATCACTAAGCCCGACTATGTCGCCTATTTTGGTCACTCTGTCGTTAAATAGTTAATGATGTTAAAACGACGTCGTTTCAAAAAAAATTCACCAAAATGAAATCATTTTGTAACTATTTAAGAACTCATTTTAATGATGTTAAATATTTAACGGCCGAGTGAATAAAAAACTAATGTATTAAGTTCAGTGAGGAAATTTAAAATATTTAAAGTACAATGAGTGAATTTATTTGTTGATACAACGGATTTTCCATTATTGGCAACGATACAGATGAGTTCATCTTCATTAACGAAAGAATTATTAGCTGTTTTTGAATTATACCAACAAAAAAGACGAAGGGTAAACCTTTACCATATGGTTATTGACGGTAGCTATAGTAGGCGACTACAAACGAATGACGGACGTCAATGCTATATATATATATATATGGATTAGGATCCATTTACACAATGTAAAATCTTTAGTTTTACACATATTTAGGATCATTGGATGAGTAAAAATAAATGGTCGAGGTTGATTACTTGTTTTATTTTCCCAGTAAAAATCTTCATATTTACTACTTTTAATCTTAATTATCTGTTTTCACTCATCCCATGACCCTAAATATGTGTAGAACTAATAGAGTTTATATATATAGCTATTAGTCAAATAGTTATTTTATGAAATCATTTTAAAAATAATAAATTTGTAAAAAAATGTTACAATTAAATTTGAATTCAACTATGTTCGTTTTTTTTTTCTTTTTAATTTTCTTAAAGTTTTTTTGTCAAATATAGATGTTTAATATAGTTTATGTTATTCTTTAAGGTATCTAAAGTTTTATTCCATTATCATTCTAAAAACATTCCATCAACTATCATTAAAAGAATTTCGTACACACTATTATTTTTTATTAATATTAACATAGAAAACAATAAATTTTATTATTCTAAAAAATCTAGTTTTTTTAATTTCTCAAATTCCTTTGATGTTCAATTTTGATTCTTAAATTGCTTTGATTCTCACGAGACGATATAGTTTCATAAAAACATGTAACGACCGAGTGATTTTATTTTATTTTTGTAATTTCGGACAACAATAAGAGAAACAATCAATCAACGGAAATCCATCTACAAAAATAAAAAAGATCAATTACGGTTAATCGGACGACAGGATATGAGATTTAAAGATTTTTGAAAATTAATGATTTTGTTTTTGTTTTAAAAAACAAATATTATAAAAACATAATATATGTCAAGCACTAATTAGATAATAAATTTCTTTAATGTCGTTAACTAGACACTTTAAAATGATAACTTTGAGGAAAAAGACATTTATACCCACTTGGGAGAAAACATTCCATTTTCAAAAGAAGTGGGATGGGTTGCTTTTCTCGGGTCTATAAAATTGGCTTAACGACAACGAGGAAGCTCTAAGGTTCCATTTGTAGGATCAAAATATATAAAATCCGCTTAGGCTTAATAATATCATCGAAATCTGCTAAACAACCAACCAAATTCATGGATATAGTGATCAAATATCCAACTTCAAACGCATAATTAACAAACCAAAGCATAATTAACAAAGGATTCAAATATATCTCTTGGGTATGGATCCGTGATAGGTAAGCCACCACAAGTAGAAGCAGCTTCTGTTCCGGGTGGGCTCCAAAGATGTTTAACACGGAGTATATCCATATCCATATTCATCTTCTGGCTCTGAGTCCGACCATATAAAACCATGTTCCGAACGCATTGTCTCCACATATTCAACTTCAGACAGCCCTGGAAAAATAAAATAAACATATGCATTAATTTCCTAGAAGAACCATAGATAAACACATATTTATTAGTTAAAATTTAGTAAACGGACCTTCAACTCTATCAGCTTCTTCCTCAGTCATGTAAACTAACACTATACGATGATTTCGACCGTTTAAATCAAAAATAGCTCTTTTACTGTTGATGAAAAAAATAGGGAATTAAAAATAGCAATTTACAATATTCAATCTAATTCAATTCAACGTACCACATACATATACTAATCAAACCGAATCAAATGAAAGTGGAAGAGCCATGCTTACTCAGGAAGTTCGCGTACCAGCAAGCGAGACTGTTTGTCAAAATTTAAACCAGGAAAAAATTTCACATCGTACCACTGCAATTGCACATTCAGTCACCACATAAGAAATAGTAAAGTCAACTGTTTATAATCCTCTTTGAAAATCATGCAATTCAATTATATGAAAACCATCAACCACAAACCAAAGGAGTAAAACCAACCTTCGTAAGAAATAGTAAAGTCAACCATTTATAACCCTCTTTGAAAATCATGCAATTCAATTATATGAAAACCATCAACCACAAACCAAAGGAGTAAAACCAACCTTTCTTGCCCCCTCGTCTTTGCCGCCTGCAACACAAAGTATTCAATGAGTAACAAACAAGTTAAAATCAAAGACAACCACTTTTAAGGCATGCCTGTGCCTATTAAGTCTTTTGCGGAATAAAATCCACCACAACCAAATAATAGTATATGTGGATTCCCAAATTCCATAAAATCAAAACAAATTGAACAGACTCCCATAAATAGCTAAGTGAGAAAGTGAAACACAAGCATTGAAGAGGAAAATAAAAAAAATCATAGAATCCACGATTACCTTCCTTTTCTTCATCCCCCATTACAGTTTCTTCAGGTTTCGCAGTCATGTCTGAATCAGCTGCACGTCATATGTGAGAAACATATCATTCAAAAGAAAAAAAGGAAAAGGATAAAGAGGGTCGTTGAATACCAATTTTCTCTGCATGTTCTGACATATCTTCGTCAATCTGAGTATTTTGGGTTGTGTGACTCATCTGAATTCACATGCCAAATGAAAATTTATGATTCAAAATTGAGGAACCACGCAACAAACAGAAGAAAAATAGTTGACAATAAAATCCATATGAATTTCTAAAGACTAACTACAAAACCATATTGAAAGGCTAACAGGCACCTCCCACTCTTTCTCATCGATAGATTTCATTAACACCACCGTTTTCACTGCTTTTACTCCCTCAGATCTGTTCTACTCCCAATCTCTCTATCTTAATTTACCTCCCTTCTTCGGACCTTAATAGTTGTTTTAAAAACCCTAGCTTCTCGAATCCTTTCTTTTCTCCACTGAAACTTGTTTGCTTATGATCCGAGGAGACTTAGAACATTTATTTTTCGCTTAGGATTTTAATTGCTTGAGCGAATCAAATAAGGAGTCTTTAATCGGAATTATTTAGGATTTTCGGATCGCCATTCACAAAAGAATGTGGCTACGGTCGGCGACTGAAACAACCAAACACAAAGAGGAGAATAATAATAACAGGGAAAGGTTTTCGTTACTGAGGGAGAATCCTTGGGTAACGTAAGAAATATGCACCGGTTGCACTAACAAGGGAGATCAATATATTTAGGGCAGGTTACATCAAAGGTTACTAAAGTTTTAATTAGTTTCTATTTTCGCAATTGAAATTTTTAAAAATTACAAAACAAACTAATATTATTATTTTATAACATAACAATAACTCAACAGTTAACCACTGTCATTTCAATTACGAAAGTATGACGTGTCAATAAAGTAATGCCACATCATCAGTGAAAAATAATAAAAAATACACCATTATTGAAACCACCCAAGTAGCCACATCCAATTTTGAAGACAGAAGCGAGGCAAGTGTTGATAATAATTCATCCAGATATTCAAATTATGATAAGAGTACTGATGCAAATGCCGAAAACCCTATGGATTATGGTAATTATGCAAATGATGAATTGAATATTGACCAAAATCCTGGGAACTATTATGTAAATTATGCTGATTATAGCAACTACCAATTGGGTGTTGATCCGAATAGTGGGAGCACTGATGTTGCTACTACTACTTATGGGAGTTATGTGAATTACAATGTACAATATGAGAATAATTGGGTTGATGGGTCAGCAACAACTATGTTGCCGGAGCCCTCAGGGATGGCTGAACATGGGGTGAAAGTTAAGGGAATGAGAGGGAGGAATGAGATACCAACAGAAATTGTTGAGGTGAAGCAGGATGAGCTTATGAAGAATCGGCCGAGGGAAGATCAGTTTAAGATGACCGTGATAGCTTTTGGGCCATCTTATCAGGTGTTGAACTTAAAACATAATTTACTTTATCAGCTTGTTGGTCTAATTTTTGTCTAATGATATTTGCATTGCCATTTGATCCTGGTTTGGCATGAGCTAGTTGTTTGTCTCTTTACTGTTGTAGCTATTATTGTTAATGTTTTAGATTTCGAATAGATTATTTCCACAAAACAGCATACCAATCAACCGAATTCCCATCGACAGTTTCTTCTGGTTTCCATAAAATAAAACCAGATTGAACAGACTCCCATAAAATTCAAAATAGCTAAGTGAGAAAGTGAAACTCAGATGCATTGAAGAGGAAAATAGAAAAGAATAGAATTCCAGGATTACCTTCCTTTTCTTCCCCCGCAAAACAGTTTCTTCAGGTTTCGCAGTCATGTCTGAATCAGCTGCACGTCATATGTGAGAAACATATTGTTAGGAACAGGTCTGCAATTTCAAAGAAAGAAGAAAATACAGAAAGAGATAGAGAAGCAAGAGGAATTGGAGAAGACAAGTATTTTAATTAACAATGTGCAATGTCAATTCTGTTACAGCTCCTTTTCCTTATAAAGCAATAAACTCAATGCATAAATTCATCCAACGTCTTTGGCTCTTTCTTGTCAACATATTTAGAGATGCATCTATCACCACAACTCTCATAATCCCCTTGAAACGAAGCAATATCTTTGTCCATTAGCAACAACCTAAAGCCACGAGGGTCTTCCACTTCCATAAACTCATTAAAATTTATAAGCATTGATTTCCCATGCCGATTAGTGCAAGCATGAACAATTCCTAAATAACACTTATCTGTAGTTCCCGGAGCAATTTCATCCTTAAAACATATAACATATAAAACATCACTTGGCTTTTCCATTGCACCCTTATAATTTTTTCCAATCATTAAATAACTGATTTCGTGTTCCTGGTGATGTGTCTGGCAAGTCTTTGATCATCGTTCAATGTGAAAGCTATTATCAAATACAGTCGTCATACCTAATTTCACCGTCCTGTTTAGCAATTCTTCACCCTTCATCTCCTCGCCATGTGTTACCAATTCTTCACCCTTCATCTCCTCACCATGGATTACCAATTCTTCACCCTTCATCTCCTCGCCAAGGATAGAGAGCCCATAATCATTGGGTTGACGTACTGAAGAATCAAGTCCCTCATTTTTCTGAACCAGTTGATCAGAAGTTTTAGTGTTTACTGATGTTGACATTTTGTCAAACACCCGGTGGAGCTTTGTGCCTGAATCGTCTAGTTTGATTTCCACTTTCCCCGATTCATAGATTTCAGGTTGTGCTTTGGACGTCAATCCCAACTGTGATGATATAACTGCTAGTTGACATTGCACGTCTTGAAGCGCCCGGTGGATCATTTCGCACACTTGTTTCTGCTCTTCGGCATGCACTTGCAGAGAACCCAGCAAATGTTCGTGACGAGCAACAGTCTCATGCAGACTTTTAATGGCCTCTGTATCATTCACCATAGCTTAGTCTCTCAACGAGAGCACAAATGTTAGGAAAAAGAGAAAAACATAGAATTCCAGGATTACCTTTCTTTTCTTCACCCCCCATAACAGTTTCTTCAGGTTTCGCAGTGATGTCTGAATCAGCTGCAGTCATATGTGAGAAACATCCATTACTTATCATTCAAAAGCGAAAAAGGAAAAAGAGAGAAGCTCGTTGAATACCAATTTTCTCTGCATTTTCCGACATATCTTCCTCACTCTGAGTATGTCCTATTGTGTGACTCATCTGAATTCACATGTCAAACGAAAATTTATGATTCAAAATTGAGCAAACCAGGCAACAAACAGAGGAAAAATAGTTGACAATACAATCCATACGAATTTCTAAATACCAACTACAAAAACATATTGAAAGGCTAACAGACGCCTCCACTTTTTCTCATCCATAGATTTCATTAACGCCACCGTTTTCACTGCTTTTACTCCCTCGGACCTGTTTTACTCCTAATATCTCTATCTTAATTTACCTCCCTTCTTCGGACCTTAATAGTTGTTTTGAAAACCCTAGGTTCTCGAATCCTTTCTTTTCTCCATTGAAACTCGTTTGCTTCACAACAAAGCTTTGACACTGAGGAGGCTTAGAACATTTGTTTTTCGCTGATGGCTTGAACGAAGGCTTTTTTATTCGAAGTTATTTAGGATTCTCGGTTACGGGGGATGGGCAGTGATGATTGCACAGATTCGAAGGCATGTACAGAACAACAATCTGATTTGGGGAATAATGTTAAGCTAGGCTTTGAAAATTTTCATTATCGATTTCGTTGAAAGTCAGAGGAGATCATCGCCGTTAACGAAAGAATCATGTGTTTTTGAATAAAAACAAGATAGAGAGACGAAGGACAAACCTTTACCCGATTGCTGGCGACAGTGGCTACGGTCGACGACTAAAACAACCAAAACCGGAGAGAACAATAATAACAGCTAAAGGTTTTCGATCCCAATATAGAGTTTATCGCAAGGAAAGTAATCTATTTTAAATTAAATTATATAATATTTTATTTATATTTTGTTTAAGGGTAATGTATATAAATAGTCCCCACATTTTTAGAATGCTTGAATTTAGTCACCCAACTTTTAAAATTGCAATACAGTCATTAGACTTTTAATTTGTTTTCAGTAAAGTCCATATCGTTACCTCTGCTAGTTTTTCTGACTAGACATTTAATTATTGTTAGTTCTTCTTCTTCTTTCCAAAAGCCTCCAAAAGTTCAACCCAGCATGAACAAGTCCCAACAGGCCACAATAGAGGCCACGACAGCCCCCAACACTTGTCCCTTCTCCAGCATGTCTCCATCAGCTGATGGTTGAGGAGGCTTAGAACATTTGTTTTTCGCTGATGGCTTGAACGAAGGCTTTTTTATTCGAAGTTATTTTTCCCTTTTTTCTTTGAGAACTAGATGAGTGCATTTCATATTCGAACTCTTTTACTTCATTTGCTTCATTCAACATGCATTAGGAAGGATCAAAATTCATTAGGAATGACTCGTGAATATAGAGGTTATCAACAAATAGGAGTAATTTTTTCTTAGAGGAATTTTAAATTGTATTTTTAATGTTGTTTTTTTAGTAAATTTCCCATTTTTATATTAATTTTCTCATTTTTAGTAAATCACCGCTCACCTTCGTTTCCGACCACCACCAGCGGTGGTCGGGAAAGTCTAAAGCCTAAACCCAACTAAAGCATTTTTTATCTTTTACTCCAAACCCTAAACAAAACAAAGAACTAATACAATCCATCCCTTAAAAACGACAGAAGACTATCAGTTCTCACTATTCCTAGCCTCGACGAACATTGTTTTCTCTGTGTTTCCAAAAAAAATTGGGAAGAACTCCTTTACAATATGTTTAATTGGGTTTTATATTACCCATTTTTTGTTACAAAATGAGAAATAAAAAATTAATTTACAACATTTTTTATTTTTGTTTTATTGTACATGTGTTGCTGATGGAGACATGCTGGAGAGGGGACAAGTGCAAGGGACTGTCGTGGCCTCTATTGTAGCCTGTTGGGACTTGTTCATGATAGGTTGAACTTTTGGAGGCTTTTGGAAAGAAGAAGAACTAATGATAATTAAATGTCTAGTCAGAAAAAACTAACAGGAGATAACGATATGAACTTTATTGAAAACGAATAAACAGTCTAATGACTGTATTGTAATTTTTAAAAGCTGGGTGACTAAATTCAAGCGTTCTAAAAATGTGGGGACTATTTATATACATTACCCTTAAAAATAATATAAATAAAATATTCTCTCTCTCCCACGTTACGAACAAATAAGAGACTTCTACAAACGTCTAGCAGAAGTTCACACTAATAACATATGCAATAATATTATGAATTTATGATACCTATGGATGAAGGAATATAACATATCCATAAACCAAACATCGAATTCCGTCTAAATGATATCATTTTATAGTTCAACTTAAAAGGTTTCCCAAAACCATGATATTCAACAACGGTTCTTATGCCAAAACACAGGATGAGCGAAGGAACATCGAATGAAGCGGAGACGAGACGTTCGAAAGTCTTAACTGTTTCCCTTTTGTCAACAGCTCGTCTAACCTCTCAACCACGTGTTTCGATATGACGAGTTGTCACGCAAAGAAGCATTGTGGGGCTTGTACTCCATTACATAGCTGTGCGGAAGCTTTAAGTGCCGTTTGATTGAATCTCTAAGGGCCATGACAGACTGGTAGAAACAAAACACGATCAATAACTACTGACGAGATCGAAATACAAATACACGAAATAGGAAAATCAGTACGATTACTATTTACTAATAGCAAACCTGATGATCTGACGCATTACAATTCCATACACTCAATATATCCTCATTGAAGCGAATGCTCAGCACTGCACCACAAACATTATCTCCATAGTCCAGTTGATCACCAACCAGGGCAAGAACCTGCAAATGTAAGGAGTGAATAATATATAACGAAAGTAGTATCGAATAATATTAAATGTTCATCATCTAGTGCCAAGAGAAGGCACCATTTCAAACAACCAGTCACAAACTAATTAGAAATTTAGAACATTTCACAATCTTAGTGAATTCATTTTAAAACCTTAGTTAATTAGGATTAATTGTAGAATGTGTAGAAATTTCACTTTGCAATGTAGAACCATAGTAGGCTCTCTATAGCCAAAATAAGAGATCTATTTCAAGGTTTGCTTTCATTTTTTCATGGTGTCTTTTCACACTTTGATTACTGCATAAGAGAGTACACATTATCCGTAATAGAGTAGAAAAGATAATGTGATATGCTAGACCGGATGGCTTTAGGAAGGGAATCGAGTGTCTCTTGCTGCTGCAGCCCCTCAGAATCGATTCGGTACTTGAGACACAAATGTGCAAGCATCTGATCTTGCAGGCGAGGAGGCAATTGGTTTCTCTGAGCAAAGCTTGAAGCAGCTTTAATTGTATCCCTCTGAAAGGCCAAAACAGTAAAAGATTATCAAATAATAATAAAAAACCAGTGCGTTGATTAGGCTGATGAACACTAAGAATTCACTAACGAATATTCTGGTTCTGCTAGTTCCATGGACAACTAAGTTTTTCATGTTCCTGATCAAATATGCAGTCAATCCGAGATTGAAGAGCATGTAGAAAGTGTCAAATATCATCTCCTGAGTATTCACAGGATGTAAATCCCCATAGCCGACGGTAGTGAGTGTAGTGATGGACCAGTATATCGATGTCACATATCGAATCGACAAGCTCTGTTCGTGGAAATTGTCTCCCATAGATTCTGAAAGCCATGTTTTTCCAGGATCATGATATTTTGCAGCAATACGATAATAGAAGTATCCAGCACAATGAACAGAAAAAAGGGTAACCTACAAAAACATCCAAGCTTCATAAGTTCCAACTTCCAAGCACATTTCAGTTAACATCGTACCAATTCAATTTTGGCTTTCTCACACAAATAAGTTGGGCACATCGAACCCAAAAGTAGTTGCAATTCTTGTCTTTCTCCAATCTGTTGAAATCAACAATACCTCATGTCAAACAAGTCCAGAGGCAATAAACGAATTTCAACAATTATCGCAGTGAAAAAGCTCTTGTACCTTGAAAACAAGGCACTAACTCTTCGGAGATGCCAAAGGCGAAGCATGTTGAATAGGCCATATGAGCGCAATGGCCTAGGGGAAATCTTCCGAGCTAGTTCGGATGGTATCGTGGATATAATGTCTAGAACCAGCCAGGAACTGCCATACTTCCAAGCAATATTTTTCAGGTCATCGATGAGGAGATAGGTAGCTTTATCTAGGTATGCAACAAAGAAGGTGAGGACAATATCCAGGGCAAAAAAATCCATTAACAACGTTATCAGTAACAGCAAGTGGTGAATCTGGTTTTTCGAGGCATCCGAATTCAAATGGTGAAACCCAAGCAGTGTAGATGACAAGATGAACCAGAAAAGTGTCCCATACCCTGCAAGGATCTATTTATTCCTTTCAAATTTCAAAGGCATCAAGTAATGACAAGCAGCTGCAATTGGAACTGATTCAGTTTGAAAAGAGGGATAAAGGAAGCTTCTAAAGATATGGACACATCAAGACCTCAACTTTGATCATAAATCATTCTTTTTGGAGAAAAAGAAAGAAAGAAAAGGAATAATAAACATGAAGGGGGAGGTTGGTAGCAAAAGGAAAAGCATATAATATTATAGTAAAGAATTTCAAAGTGATTTCCTAGGCTAGAATCTTGTCAACCGTCGGATTCTCAAACGAAGAATCTGCTTTAAGAATAAAAAAATAAAGACAGTACTGGAAGGAACAGACGTTGGAATACAAATTTCAGAACACATTCAAAGATCAAACCGTGTTCTAATATAGTGTTCATAACGATAAAGACATTCACCATAGAATTAACTTGTATATCTTTAAAACAAGCAGTGATGACGGATAAAAATGAAACATATTAACAGAACCAGGTAAATACTTTTCATTCACGTAAACATTTCTGGTTTCTGATTAGTCCTTTTCCATATGCCGCAACAAAGTATAGCAAATAAATAAATAAGTAAAGAAGAATTTTACAATGCCAAAGATTACAGACGACTGTGCAATTTCTCGGTTACAAAAGATAAATTTTTTACAGTCTTCTACCAAAGCAAAAGCTCACCAGAATCAATGCACGGATTTTCCCTAAACACTATATACGTTAACGCCTTGTTTTGCGGCAGTCTTTTTTCCAACACACTATTCATTAAAAGACAGAAAAAAAGAAATAATTACACATTGATGGCTACCAACAATGATTCCAAAATAATTTAGGTCTGAAAAACAATCAAGAAGAAGGGGTTGTTTTTATATGGACCTGTAATGACGATCATAAGGAGAAATGATATAACTTCTGAGCTTGATTCTTCAGGTACTCCTGTATCCAAGCGAAGAAAGTATCCCGGTGGATAGACTATAATGACTACTCTCTCTTGAGAGTCACTCTAAAACTGAATTATGAACATGTCACAGCATTTTAATTATTCTTCATACTGAGCTGGCACACTTAATAAGGAAGAACGAGCCACTACGAGTTCCTATCCCAGTAGTAAAGTACAGCTAAGGTAGTTCCTATCTCAACTTTTAAAGCATATGCATTGGCTTGCAAGCTTCATAGTACAACATTCAGTAATCATTCATAACATTTTCTTCCAAAAACAATTCTCCAACTTCCTCATCACATCACGGAAAATACCGTGAATGGAATTATTCAGCATAACTTAGAACCTGTGCAATTACATTCCAAATAAATAACTCATAATTTGATCAAACAAACTGACCCCGACAGCAGAAAAACTAACTGAAGAACTTGATTATACGATATTTGATACTTTTAACTGTAATGTAAGTGTAAAGATTTATACCTTCTTGTTTTCCTCTTTTATACGAAATTCAGTAGATGTTTAAAAAATCATAGATAGAAACATATAATAAAAGCATAATAAACAAAAAAATGTAGAATATTACTTTAGGATATAAAAACAAACGCACAAAGGCTATATATTATTGGGTGCATTACAGAAATTGTCGATTTTCTTGAACTCCACTCGTGGTGTACATATTGCTGTAGCTTTATCTAGGCATTCTTTGGTTAGCTAATCATACATCACCATCAAGAATACTAGTAAACATGTGATTGGGATAGAAAACCATAGGTGAAACAAACTATGAAGTAAAACTCAAGTCTAAAAGTAAGTTTCAAAAGGTAAAAAAAGGGGAACACTTAAAAATTCAAGAAGTGACTAACAAAATTAATGCAAAAGACAGTGGTTCTGTTTCATGTCTTCCTTTACAGTTATAATGCTCATATACTAGCCCATTCTAAGAAGAATCATTCCTGTTTAAGTCCAGATATTGAACTGTACTTGAGAAACCTTAGTCTTTCATGAGATCAAATAACGAGGAAGATGATTAAACCTCTAAATATGGCAATGACTGTTTTATTGCTTAAATCATTTTCCACCATCAAAAGTCATTTATCTTTATCCATCTTTTCAGAGAAGAAAATCTTGTGGAAGAGGGATGTGTTAATGGATATGCCCAACCATGACAATATGTCATTGTTGTCCCCAATAACAAGAAAACATTTATCCCCTAACTAATAGCACAGAAATGCAATGGAAAGTGGTCATATCTTTCGAAAATATTTGACATTTGTACCATACATGTAGTATGCTTCTAACTGATGAAAAGCCGAATAAGACAATTACAGTACGCCTGGGAATATCATCACCGACCACTGCACCACTGCCCGATAAAGTTTAGTAATTACATAAATTACGACATAAAACATGCATACTTCTAACAGAACCTCACAAATTAGTAAGAGGAAGACAACCAAAGTAAACTTAAGTCATAAAAATACAGTGGTTCCCCAATTCTGTATTTTCGAAAACATGGTTCGAAGGATGCAATCGACATCTATTCCCTAGCTTTGCAGAAGAACCAATTGTACAAAAAGGACCTATAGAAACACCCAGTGCCATTACAATTTTGAAATTTCTCATGAACACAAACCATTACAACAGAGTACAGCCAACAAAGAACTTAGTTTTAACAGTCAAAACAAATCATAGAGATTTTAGGTACCCAAACCCAAATGCCCTGATAATGTAACTTAGGGACAAGCCTCTTCATTCCACTCAGAAATCAGAAGAAGAAAATGTAACTTACATTTAGATATACAGTAACATTCAACAATGGAAGCTGCAATTCAGAATTCAAGCAGCCCAACTCAACAATAAAACGATATTATTTTATAAAATTTGAAATCCAAATTACTGACTACTACCACTAACCTTAGAATGCTGTGGAGATCTAAAATTTGCAGATCAAAAGCACTACAACGGCAATGACTAGTGTAGCGTAAATTCCCTGAGAAAAAAATAAAGAATATTTAATAAAAACCATGTTTTTATATAAAGAACATAAAAACCCACAACAAATAATCAAAGGAACTGCGCTAACACCAATCTGGTACTCGTCAATAAGCAAAATAAAAAGAAAACACCAATTGAGCCGTGAGAAAAGAGGTAAATCGCTCCAAAGTAAACTCAAAATCGACCACACGTTGGAAAAGATTAAACTCGGGGAAACCAGGAACCATCGTTAGAAACTCCATGCCCTTCATTGCGGCTGACTGGTAAACCACTCTCCCTTTCAACTTTGAACCCTCCAACACCCGCCACTCTTTATGACATTACAGAATCAATGTCTCGTGAAAGTAGAAGAAAAAATACCAGTCGTAGATCCCAGTTCACTGATAAAACGCACAAACGCATCAACAAAACCTTCAATGGAGAAACACAGACGGACAGGGATAAAACATAATGACAGGAGATCGGTTGTCTGCCACCTAAAACCAGAGAGAAAAAAAAGAGAGAAACACGACAGAACCGTTTTTCCTGGTTGTTTGGAGAGTTTCGGGTTTTGTCTAAGGTTTAACGAAATCCCACACCGGGGTAAAGCACAAAGGCAGTGGTATTTAACATAGAAGGAATTAACGTATCACTGTGGCCGCAGGCCTATGCTGAGATTTGGGTGTTGGGTTTGGGCATTGGGCTCCTGGCTCACCATCTTTACGGTGTTGGGTTTGGGCATTGGGCTCCTGGCTCACCATCTTTACGCCGTGGGGAAGTTGGGTGGTGGCCGAGTATTTTGGTTTTGGGTTTGCTTTTTAGGGTTTATGGTACATAATGTAAGTTTATTAACGTTTCCAAACTTATCCAAGTCATCCACTTAATCTTAAGTCATTGAGGTTACTTAGGTTATTTAGTAGTTCAGTTTATCCTGGTCACTTCGAAATTTCTAGAGTAATTATATCGTTTCTTAAATTCGAATACATACAATACTTTCATTCGGTTTAACTTGGTCATATAATATATGAGGCTGATTTGTTCATTACAGAGCTGGGAGTATTAAGTTATTCCAGAGCTAGGACGTACTTTGAATCATATTACACTTCAGGGGCATTCCAACTGAATCATGAATTTACTCAGTGATTCCAATATTCAAGTGGATCATAATTTAAGTTCTCAACCTGTCTCCATTATCATATTCATCCATAGCCTTTTTTACTCTTTAAGGGTATTATCTTCATTTCATTCAATTTTGTCAGAGGCATTACTTCAGATAACTTAGGCTTGATGATGTGATCCAATTCAGCATCATGGATATTTCACCCTTACAAGGGGAGAGACTTTCTAACTTTACACATATATATGCTTATTTCAAATATTTTAATATAGTTATTTTCATTTACATATACTATATCTATAGCTATTATGATGATAACTTAACCATTAATATGTGAGATATAAGTTATCATAATATGCTATATTTCACATTCTTATATTATACATTATATAAGTTGATATATACTTAGTTATTTCTTTATGTTATGCATGTAGGCACATTCGGCCAATACTTGGGAGCTACATTGGAGCTAAATAGAGCATGCAAAAGTAAGGATACTTACATGGGAACGATTAGGAGAGCAGAAGGAGCAATTTGGTGAAAAACTGTTTTGAGGCCGTGAGCTCATAGCTGGATTGAGCTGAAGATTTGAACTACAAGATGACCTCATTTCAGCTGGGGACCTGCACCATCATCATCACCACTTAGGACACTTCAAATATGTCCTAAGTCAAAATTTGTGAAATCATACCTTTTCGCGAATAGTTGCCAACTCAAGAGGTACCTTTTCACAAGGAGCTGCCATAATGTTCACCATGCTACAAGCCACCTATGGCCAGCTCACCTTTAGCTCATTCACACAATAAGTAGCTCAAACATGAAGGGACACTTTTCTCAAACATTGTGACCTTTCATGAATGATGTTGCCCATGAAGATGCCTTTACATCCAAGAGCATACTGCATTGGAGGCTTAAATTACCATGAGACATGATATAAAGCTTCATATATATTCAGCCACATCACATGCTATGCACATGAGAGCATTTGGCAC